CTACTGTTTAATATGTCTATTACGAACTATGACAATGATTAAACAGTTTTATGATAGAATTGTATTTTGCGCGTGAATATCAAATGTACTCATTTAACAAACCAATCAAAGCCGTTCTTTTTATTTCTCTGCTTTATCACGCCATTCAAAGACGTAGCAAAACTTCTTTTTAAAGCTTCCATCTTGGAAATAGTGGCAACGAACTGAGACATCTTGGAAATAGTGGCAATGAACTGAGACATCTTGGAAATAGTGGCAATGAACTGAGATATCTCGGAAATAGTGGCAATGAACTGAGACATCTTGGAAATAGTGGCAATGAACTGAGACATCTCGGAAATAGTGGCAATGAACTGAGACATCTTGGAAATAGTGGCAACGAACTGAGACATCTTGGAAATAGTGGCAATGAACTGAGACATCTTGGAAATAGTGGCAATGAACAGAGACATCTTGGAAATAGTGGCAATGAACTGAGACATGGTGACGTATGAGAGGCCGCCCCACGTAAAACAAAATTGCGTAAATACGCTCCTGGATATATACAATTTCTGCATTCCTCATTAATCTTCGGACTCGAAAACAGATTTTATTATTATTATTTACAATTCGTTTTTTATACGTACAAATGCAACAGGCAGAATTTATCTTCTATTTCAATGCGTTATGGAACGAAAGTAATACGCATGTTATAATATCGCCTAGGCAAAGTTAAATAGCTTTCCGATATGCTTATAAAAGCTAGACCAGTCCATATTAATACTAGGCAAAATTTAAGTCATTGGTTTACATGCATGACTAGATGCATGACGCGTAGAACGTAATCATCTTTTTTTTTAAAGTAACGTCTGTATTATAATATAAGATAAGATCAGATAGGAATCATAATTTGTAGGCTTTAGATTGAGATGATATCTCATCTGATATTTAAACTTTAAATTCTAGTTCTAGATCTAGAAACGTCACAATTTCAAAATATTAGATCTATCTTTCTGTCTAGATATTTTACAAAGAGAATTAGATGAATTACAGAAATGGGAATCAAATTGGAGCATGTCTTTCCACCCAGAAAAATGTCAGTTGTTTAGAGTAACAAAAAAACTAAAACAAATTAATTCCACTTATCTTATTCATGGCAAACCAGTAACACAGACTAAAAACGCAAAATACCTAGGTGTTATAATAAATGAAAAACTGTCATGGAATCCACATATTGATGAAACTATAAAAAAATCAAACAAAGCATTAGGGTTTATTAAAAGAAATTTCTATAAATCAAATAAGAACATAAAACTAAAATGTTATTTAACCTTGGTTAGGCCAATAATAGAATATGCATCCACTGTTTGGGACCCCTCAACTCAAGAAAACATTAAGAAACTGGAACAAACACAAAATAGAGCAGTGAGATTCATAACAAACGAATATTCACATTTGACTAGAGTAACACCATTAGTAAAATCACTAAATTTAGAAAGCCTTCAGGACAGAAGACTCAAAAGTAAAGTAGCAATTATACATAAAACACTGAACCATAATCTTCAAATACAAAAACAAAATTTAATAAAATACTCTGAAAGACACAAAAATAAAGGCACATTCCTAGTCCCATATGCTAGGACAAATTTGTACAAATACTCCTTCTTCCCTAGTGCTATTAGAGCATGGAATGGGTTGCCTGAGCTAGCCAGAAAATCCAGTGACTTGGCAGAATTTAAGTCATTGGTTAATATGCATGACTAAATGCATGACGCGTAGGACGTAATCATCTTCTTTTTTGAAGTAACGTCTGTATTATATAAGATAAGATAAGATAGATCTAAAAGAGTAAATCTGGATTATTCGATATTAATGACATAATAAAATCATAATAATAATGTGGATCTAGATCTAGATCTAGATTTCAAAACAAAAGTTGCTCTCACTATCAACTGCTACAAATCCAATCAACTCATGTTCGTTGTTCAATTAATCAGACTTTTGCAAGATTGAGAGATGTACTCAACCTGCAACCTATTCATTCCCTCAGATTGTGATTCAGGCATTGATGTGTGAGATGTCGGTAGTGGTCCGCCATGAAAAGTATTGCATTTTGTATGCGCAACACATCTTGGTATTTCAACATCGGTGCACTATGGTATGCTTGATTCTACATATATGAACTGTACACTCATAGGCACTTATATATACTAGATAGGGACTCCAAGACAAGCCTTATTGTTTATACACTCATAGGCTCTTATTTTATATTTTACTTACAGTATTTTTTATGTTATATATTATACTATATAATAATAATTTCAATGTCTTCGATTCTGAAGACCAAGGATGAGTGCAGTGTTTCACATGAATACATATAGGTTGCGACTTGCATATTTTTCCGCATCTCATCAGACAAAACCTTTTTTCGCCTGAGGTCTATTTAAGCTTTCGTTTCCTCGTCTGTGAATGTCTTTTATAAATGGCCTTTGGGTCTGAAATGTGTGGCCCGCAGCCTTGAGATTTCAAACTGTCTCTTTCAGAGGCCACTTGCTGGCAGCTACTTTCCTGAGTGGTTTATACCATGCAGTGTTTCACGTAGCTAGACAGCTGGAGCTTGACAATAAATTATGAAAGCACAGAATTTTTATGTCCCTTAAAAAATAAATTTACCAGCTTCGACCCTTTTCTATTCTGATTCCCCAATTGAAACGACGTCGCACCCCTTTAAGGGCCCCTAGGTTAGGGAAGGACTGGGTAACAAAATTGACCATGGCATTACCATATGAGCCGGCCCACAAAAATGCCATGCTTTAACGAAACCTAATTCAGCGAAAACTGAACTCGTGTATGCGTGGGCTGACGTACAGTACTAGATTTAGACAGGAAGAATATAATATGTGCAAGCGTGGCCTTAATTATTTTGCATTGCCTTATTATAATCCCTCTACGTGCTTTTTTAACGCTAATTCTATATAACTTGACAAAATATAACAACTTTGTAGTTGCTTAATCGATTAGTATTCATAAGGGTTTGAAGTACTCCTAAACAATATATACAGACTATAATTGAGGCTATTACATTACATTATTCCATATGCTAGGACAAATTTGTACAGATGCTCCTTCCCTAGTGCTATTAGAGCATGGAATGAGTTGCCTGAGCTAGCCAGGAAAACCAACGACTTGGTAGGATTTAGCATAGGACGTAACCATCTTCCTTTTTTAAGTAACGTCTGTATTACATAAGATAAGATTACAGAAAATGTGTTAGGAAAGTATTATGCTACGCTGGGTCAGTTACGTCACACCGTGGGGCCATTTTATAAAAGAAATTCTACAATCTTTTGTGTATTTCTGGCCTTATTGGAATTCCAAGCGACCCTATAGAAGGCGGTCCATTGTGGTACCGGCCCACCGGGCATTTGCCAGAATAACTATCTAGCCAGTCTGCCCCTACCTTAAGGGGGTGCGCACCATAGTAAATAAGAAACGCTGTCTTATGCTATTATTTTAAAAATTTGCTACTTCGAAATAAACCCTTTACCATTGAACACACATATTATTAGACTTGGATCATCATAAGAAGTGTGGCTAAGTGGCATAAACCTTTTGGGTTCGAATCCCGACTCGAGCTGAGTTTCTGTAGTCTACTGAGCATGTAATAGCATGATGGAGGCGCTACACAAAAGTAATAAAACAAACAATACCATTGAAAAATACAACAAAACAATAATTACAGAACAAGATCTAAGTCTCACTCAGTTTATTACATCTCAAACTTTTATGTCAAGATAAAAGGTATATCCCTAAAAATGTGTATCAATTAATGGATCTAAATTTAACTCTTTCTCTCCGTAATTATTTTCCACGTTTCGACGGTATTCTTTATTTTGCTCAGTAGTATTTCACTCCACTGTTATGATTAAGCTTTAATAAATTTGTTGTTTGTCAGAAAATGTTTTATTTGGTATAGATTTATATAAGCCAAAGTAAAGTTTATAAAATCAAACATTAATTTTATTTAATGAGTTCAAATCAACGTCAACGAGGAGAGAAAGAGTTAAGAAACCAGTTGCGTTACTGCTAGGCGGTCGGCATTACGTCTTAGCGCAACCCCCCCCCCCCCCCCCCCCACACACCCTAAGCTTGGCGTGGATAGGATTCAAACCCAGAACTAACGAAACGACAGTCCAAAGCGCCTCACAACTCTACCGCTAAACAATTAACTTTGCATATTTTTCTGCTCCGACCCTTAGAACTGCATTTGATGTATAATTCTATAAATCATTATTGATATTTAAATGTAACATAATATAACTATATTTAATTTCTATGTAATGTTACTGGCAAAGTGCGAAATGTCTAGGCATTCTATAGAATGCTCAAAACGTTCAGGGAAAATGAAAAATTTCTCGATTTCCTATTTTGCCTAGGAATTGTATAGAGATTTCTGTTCAGGCGTTACCTTTGGATAATTCGTAGTAATGTTAATACAGACTACAAAGGGAAGCTAAACGGTGAAAAATATAAATTTAAAATATTCTCAAAGTAACTTCCCTTTGATTGCAAAATTCCACTAAATGCACGATAACTTCAGAGACAACAGATTCTTAGTGAAAAAAAATTACACAATCAGCATAGTCTCTTAAAAAATGTAGAGTAACGATTTCGTCAATAATGACAAATTTAAAAAAATGTTTGGAATACAATTATTAGTAAATTATTGAAAATGTCACCAAAAAAAAAGCATATTAATATTTCGATTCTAAGTTTACTCCAAGATGCCAAACAATTTGACTTTGATTGTCAAGTAAAGAGGAAAAAAAACAACAACAAACAAACTACCATTGAATACACCAAAAAATTTGCTTCAAATAAATGTCTTATATTTCTGTTCTTGCAAATAAAATATGAAAGTCAAATAGACAAATGAAACTTGTTAGCGTTTTCCAGAATTTAAAAATCACAAATCTGGTTTAATGGTCGAAGGTTAACAAAAGTGTTAAACCAATATTGTCAGGTACCTATTAGAGATGATTGGACCTTACAAAAGTGTTCAATATTGTCAGGTACATATCAGAGATGATTGGACCTTACAAAAGTGTTAAACCAATATTGTCAGGTACCTATTAGAGATGATTGGACCTTACAAAAGTGTTAAACCAATATTGTCAGGTACCTATTAGAGATGATTGGACCTTACAAAAGTGTTGAACCGATATTGTCAGGTACCTATTAGAGATGATTGGACCAAGGAAAAAAAACCCTGATTAAAAACCCTAGGCTTCATTAGGATTCGAACTAGTGACACTTGGGAAGCCATGTTCCTTACACTCATCTACAACATCCCTGATTGCTCATTCCTCTAAACATTAAAGAAGGGAAACTAATCCAAACTCTGGGTCAGCTTGACATAGTTAAAGGTTAAAACAGACTCGGGGGGGGGGGAACACAGAATCAGTTTTGTTTTGCACCAAATCATATCTGATTGATTGATGACAATGCTAGCAATGTATTAGTTCTCCTTGGTTTTATAAATTACTTAAGGATTAAATTTGCCGAAATGTATGGATTCGAAATTTTTAAAATTATATAAAATCTTGCAAACATAAACAGATGACCTTTCCATCATCTGTCCCAGAGATTGCTAGGTCTGAAAGAAGGTACTTTACTTTTCTTTTTTTTTTTAAATTCTTCAAACATTCCCGAAAAAAACACTTAAAAGTAGGACAACTGCCTTAGAGTAGGCCCTATCATATGGAAAATAAAGGTATTAATGCAATTTTTTTTGCACAACTTTATGAAATGGGCTCTACAGTTTCATTTGACGCTTTTGTTAGTGATTCATCAATGTTTTTTATTTACATTGGAAGAACTAGAAGTCTCTATTTCCTTGTTTGGGATTTCCTCCTTCATGAAAGTATTCTGATGCTGATCAATATGGTTGTCAGAATTAACTCTTTCATCACATTGGTAATCTTTTGAGGCCGTACTGGTACTCAGGTCTGTGTTTCTCTCCTTGGCAGCGGTGACGTCATTGCTCACGCTTGCTGACTGTTTTTTGCCTCGAAATAACCCAGAAGTCAGAACAACGCCACCAGCAGCTGCAGCAGACAGAAAGCCAACGAAGACCTGAGGGATTACACCCAGGCTAGCAGTGCCAGCGTCTTCCAATAGGATTACGAAGGACATACCGAAGCTGGGAAGAAATTAAACAGACTGAGTAAGCAAATTGTATCAAGAATAATAAATCACAGAGTTTTCTTATTGCACATTATATGATTGGTATGGATTCCTTATGCAACAGTCTTCTGATACTACTTTTTACCATTATAATACTTGTAAATATAACACTATTACATACTAGGCTTACTGATCATACGAAATGTAAGCTATATATATGTATTATATACTTTATTAATATGTAAACTTTCTGTATTATCGCTTGGTTGAAAATTTTTAAGTTTAAAGAAATTTGAAGCAGTTCAAATGCTTAATAAAACTAATAACTACCAAAACATATTTTGTGGGCACTTTTTGAATCGAATTATTAAACAAAACTTTTCGTCAGACAGATTACCAATCACAACGTGTGTAACTTACCCTGCGCTGGAGGTCAAGGTCATTAAGTATTCGGCCACACTTCCTGCTGCTATGCCACCAGCTTTGAAACCAGCAGCTGCAAGGACGATAGGAGCAACAGCAGCAGAACCGACGCCAAAGAGTGTAACAACGCCAAACAGCAAGAATGCCCTCGTAAGGCTCATGCCAGAACAGCCTGCTTTTTGATATACTTTTATGTCAGTATTCCTCTTGATGTCTTGTTGTTCAGCGGGTACTTTCTCAAAGCTGTCTTTGTCGTTGTTAGCAGATTCATTGATGGTTCCTTCTGAATTAGTGGCACAGCTATCTGGTGTTTCCTTGCTCTGGGGCTCAGCAATGAGATGGAAAGACTTCGGCATCGTATTCAATCTTCCAGTAACTTCATCTAATGGTTGAAAGTGATCATCTTTGTGTTCCACGTTTGCTGAGTTGAGTTCAGAGCAAGCTTTCGGCATTGCAGCATCTTCCAAGCCAGTTTCTTGATCTAAAGATTCATAGAGATGTGAATCTTGCTCATGCTCAATATTGTCCTTTGTTGGCAAACTCACGCCATCAATCGAAACCGGCAATGCAGAAAAATCTGCTGACGCTACGTCTTTATCTAATGAATGAAAGTGATCTGGACCTCCACCTTCTTCTTCCTTGCTAATTGCTGTAGTAAAGTGTTCGTTCTTAGTGTCTTCTGATGTGACAATACTTTCAGCTTTGTTTATTATGCTCTCAGAAATATTTCGATTTATGGTTTCGTCCAATGGAGGTTCAGCAGTTGCTACTTCAGTTCCAATGTCTGGTGTTAAATTAGTTTCACTAGCGCTTTCTGGGAGCTCATTGGAATCATTGCTGAGCCCAAGAGGCTGAGTGATTTGTCCTTTGTCTTGAGGTAACACGAAAGTGGCTACTTTAAAATTTTCAGCTGTGTCTATTGTCTCTGTTAGACACTCGAGTTTGGTTGATGTCTCCGTAGCCTCAGAAAATGGATTAACATCAATGCCAGCTGCTGACAGTTCCGTGTTGTGGAGCATTGGATCTGTCCCTTGACCACTAGAGTTCAAAGAATCATCTAAGACCTGCTCTTCATTGTGAACTAATGAAATATCTTTCAATCGTGCCTCTGTTTCTGTAGAAGAGCTTACTGTGTCTCTGTTTTCTGCTTTCCATTGTTCCTCATTAGGATGAGCCTCTGTACTGTTTAATGAATGTTCTGATATAGAACTAATGTTGTCTAATATGCTTGGCTTAGAAGTGCCAAAGATTATGTCAGATTTGTCCGAACTGGCATTGAGAGTGTTGTCTGACGACATATTCCCAGTTTCTACATTGGTAAGGTCGATATCTTGGCATAAGGGGCTCTTGGATGTGTCTGTACAGCTCGTGCTGTGTGGTGAAATGTCTGAAGTCTGGAGATGAGGATCACCACCGTAGTTTAGGTAAACACCTGTGTCATTGTTGTTTTTGTAAATAGTGTCTGTTTCTTGTTCAGCAGTATCAGAGTTGTCTTTAGGAGAAACCAAATCGCCTTTAAAAGCATCCGTTGTTTTTTTATTACAATTTTCAAAGTCGTCTGTAAGAGCATCTGTTGGTTCTAGATTAGAGGAATGAGAATTATCATTATTAGCATGCGTTGTTTCCAGCTTAGACGTTGCATGATTGTCAGAAAACGTCTCATTGGAGTTTGGTTGACTATTGTTGATAGATTCAGAAGACACTTCAGTTACTTCTATTGTATCCTTCTGTACGTTGTCGCATAGCAATTCTATTTTTTCTTGATGCGAATATTCAATTTTCACATCATCTCTGTTCAACATATTATGAAGTTGTGTTTCATCCAGAGAGACTCCCCCCGAGAGCAGAGTTTCTAATGTCTCCCTTGTAGATTCTGTGGTGTGGAAATTCTTCTCGTCTTCCATTACTTCCTCTGCGGTGACACCACAGTAGTCAGTCATTTCACCCTCATCTTCAACAGTCTCTGCTAAGTTCTCTGGTTGACTTTTGGGCACCATACTTTCCGAGCTTACTGGATCTTCTGATTCGTGAATCTCGTTACTTCTGCTTTGGTCTAAATTCGTGTTTTCCTCCAGCGACTTTTCACCCAACGGATCGTCCTTTATCTCGTATTTATCTTGTGGTGGATTGCTTAGATTTAGTTGTTCTCCGGAAGCAGGCAAGCCTTCGTCTTCTGAACATTTGGTTTCTGAGTGGGTACGTGATGTGGTGCTTTCAGCTTCCTTCTTGGCTGATTCGATGCTTTTCTTTGGAGCTTCATGATCGATTTCTTCGACGTCTTTCTCCTGATGGCTTGTTAATATCTCAGCAGCAGTAGTATCGTTATGAGTAAAAATCTCTTTTGTTTGTTCAAGGTTTATGTTTTCGGTATGTATGATGCTGGATGACTCCGACTTTTCTTCCATTTTTTTTTTTTTTTTTTTACAATGAATGTAATTAAACTTGAAACAGGTTTGCCTCGATGTGACCTTCACCTTGACAGAGTTCTGTAAAAGAAAATAACAATGCATTCATTTTGCTTTTTATAAAGCTTATTTAAAATCTGTCAGGGGAAAAGGTTTGTACCTATTATTTCTCCCACAACCATTCTCAGATCAAGTTGAAACTTTTCACAACTATTTATTGTACCTGAAAAAGAAGTATCAATTAGTAAATAAATATTGTCCAGTTAGTTAACTAATTGTTAGTAATTATAGTTAATTTGTTTAAACGATGTGACGTATATATAAAGTAATTCCCCATATTACGTTTTGTAATCCCACTAAACATAGTCAGGTCTATTTGTCCATGACTATACATGAATCAATCAAAAAATTATTTAATTAATGGTAATTACAGAGAAAATGGGTAGTTTATTCCTTTAGTTTTAAGACAAATTTCCCTGATTTTAGCTGTTATTTCCTTTATTTAGGCTTTGTCTCTTTTTAAGATGTTATTTTAGTTCTGCTTTTTGCATTACAATTATACTGTTTTAAAAGTGGTATTTAATGACATATTACCGCCCAAGTGTTCATTACATCTACATTACTTTACAAATTAGAACCTAGCTAAATCGTAGACTGTGTCCTATCTTATTAAATAGAAAGACCTTCCTTCAGGTAACAGTACCAGGAAAAAGAAGAAGAGGCAGAAAGAGAAAGCGATGGGAGGACAACATAAAAAAATGGACGGCCCTGCCATTAAAAAGAGGTTCTAACTAAGGCAAAAGACAGAGAGGAATGGAGAAAGACGGTCGACAAATCTTGCATGGTGCCCCAACGGTCTAACAGGCTAAGGGATAGGTAAAAGGTAAAAAAAAATAAATTATTAATATCTTCGTTTATGTGTGTGTGTGTAACTGGAAACATTGCAGAGTGTAAAATAGACATTTATTTATGTTTCCAATGAGAATTCAATCGACACTATAAAGTCA